CGAGGGGAAATCAGCATATTCAGGGGTGGTGATGGTGATGTCTGGGACATTGTGTCTAAAACATAATTGAATGAGTATAAAAATATCAGGCTGTTGTTTGACCGACGTCTGGACAGTTGTTCTAGTTTTGACATAGTTCGAGAGGTTTGTAAGGACAACTTTGCAGGGCTGGTTGTTGTGTTGTCGTTTTTGGTCAATGTTGAGTAGTCCATTAGTTTAATTCATTTTGAGACTGCAGCAGTCTGATATAACCGAGTGCCTAGATCAGCGATTTCAGAAGACAGTTAAGAGACAACCACATTACTGAGGGTCTGGCATCACACGTAGGCCAGACAAAGTAAGGCTGGCACATTTCCTTCCCTCAACGGCATCAGTGTGTTTTGTATGATAACGAACAATGGTTTTATGATCACTATTACTGAGATTAGATTTTTATTTCCAGATTTAGTAATAGAATGCAAATTCCACCAGCTGCCATTGTGGGATTTGAACACATGTAACGAAAGCTTCTGGACTGTGAATACAGTGACATGACTGCAGTGCCCACCATCTCCCCAAAATCCGTCAAGACAGTTTAGTGTACTAACAATCATTTTCGGCATGCTTTAGAATGTAGCAATTGGCCTTGCGGTTCTTATTAGTTTTTGGATGGGATGGAAAAGCCCTGAAGATGCTCGCGATGCTCACTAGCTTTCAGACACAGCCCTTCACAATATTAGAAACAGAGATAAATGCATTCAGATAAGTTTGCTCAGTAGTTGAAAAACAGCTGCCGACATGTGGTGTAGTGAGTGGCATATGAATGACTAAAGAAGTTTATTTCAAACTAATTTTTGTTTTAACATACCTCATCATACTATATGGTAGTTCCTCAACTCGAACTTTTCTTATTAAACAATGACACTGCTTAACTAAAATACCAGTCAAGCTGTTTTCTGCTGAAACTAAGCCCCCAGCACTTGTGCCACTGAGGAGCCATAACACAAAAAACTGATGATACTAACTGTGATGCAACATTGCTGGTAGTAGCCTTGTGCCTCCTCTGACTGAAACTCCACAGATTTCTGAACAACGTTTGAGGCAAAAAAGGACATTTTTCTGGAGCTGCAACACAATATTTTTTATTTCTATACTTAAACATCAAGATTTTGCACAGGACATGAGCAATGTATCTGCAAACTATTTTAGTCAACTTTTTTAAAAAATTAAACTGTCGTAAAATTACATTACATGTGTGAAATAAAGCAATAATGGACTGCTGGTAGGTATCATTTTAAATATGGAGCTCTAAACTCCCACAGTGAGAAAATATCCTGAGCTGCCTTTCTTGCTAATGCTAATGTTGAAAACAAACAGCAAAAAAACCCCAGAAAAATGGATATTCGTGAATGCTGCCATGTACTTTGGAAGAAATGTCAAAATCTCTCAGATGCTGGGATTTACGCTTTGCCAAATTTTTTTCCTGAGCTGCTACCAAGTAACCTCTATAACTTTGTATATTGTGACCTGAGGCAATGGAAATGGTTTTATTATATATGTCAACTGCAACCATCTTCAAAGGTATGTTTTAAGAAAAGCAGTAAGAAAAAAGGCAAATCTGTCTAAATGAGCAGCCAAAAATCACCTTTATCTGTCATTTTAAACAAACAGAATAACTTAAATTAGATTTATTATTTTACATTTATTTAATGATGACATTATGCAGTGTGTCTTATTTTTGGCATTGCACTGAAGTGAAATGGAAGTAGTTTAGCAGCAGTAGGATTGCTGAATTGTGTCATTCTTAGGGTTGTTTTTCAGACTGGAGGCCTGCGACCAGTGGCTTTCCAACGCGATCAGTACTGGGTCCACTTTTGTTTGTCACTTATATAAATCACTTGGATGAGAATATAAAAGGCATGGTTAGTAAGTTTGCAGATGACACCAAAATTGGTGGCATAGTGAACAGTGAAGAAGGTTTTCTGAGATTACAGAGATCTTGATCAACTGTGTCGACGGGCTGAGGAATGGTAGGTGGAGTTTAAGTAGGATAAATGTGATGCATTGTAATTTGGTAATACAAACAAGGACAGGACCTAGACAATTAATGGTATTACCCTGGGTAATACTGTGGAACAGGAAGACCTAGGGGCTCAGGTACATAATTCTTTGAAATTTGTGTCATGGGTAGACAGGGTGGTTAAGAAGGTATTTAGTCCACTCGCCTCCATTTCTCAGACATTTGAATATATGAGTTGGGATGTCATGTTGAGATTGTACAGAGCTTTGGTGAAGCCTTTTCTGGAATACGGTGTGCAGTTCTGCTCACCCTGTTCTAGGAAGCATATTATTAAAATAGAGTGGGCTCAGAAAAGAATTACCAGGATGTTGCCAGGAATGGAGGGTTTGAGATATAAAAATAGATTGGAAAGGCGAAGACATTGTTTTCACTGGACCCTAGGAGATTGAGGGGCTGACCTTATAGAGTTTAATAAAATCATGAGGGGCATAGACAAGATGAATAGCAAGTGCCTTTTCCCGAGGGTGGGGATTTTAAAACTAGGGGGCATATTTTTAAGGTGAGAGAAGAAAGATATATGAAAAGGACATGAAGGGCAACTTTTTTTTTTTACACAGAGAGTGGTTCGCATGTGGAATGAACATCCAGAGAAATGGTGGATGCAGGTACAGTTACAACGTTTAAAAGAAATTTGGATGAGTTCATGAATAGGAATAGTTTGTAGGGATATGGGCCAAGCACAGGCAGGTGGAAATAGTTTAGTTTGGGAACATGATCAGCATGGACTGGTTGGATCAAAAGGTCTATTTCCATGCTGTATGCCTCTATGATTCTATGACTGACTCTACTCAAGACCATTTGGAAGCAACTGTAATATTTATGCTGCACATCCTGCACAAGGTTTGAAAAACAATTTGATAAATGTTCTGAACGAAAAAGTTAAAAAAGGGTCTCAACTGAGGTGTTGAATCACAGAGATTTCGCATGTAATAGCCAACTACCATATTTGCTACTTTCTAACATTAGAAATTTAACCAACAGAGGCCACATCCACAGAACTACTCTGCTCTAAATTTTGGAGCTTGGAGATCAGCACCAGCTTACAGTTTAAAGCAATCAAATATCAGGTTCAGTGTCAAAAATAGAAGGATACCCCACATGCAACATGATACAAATCTGAGCAAGAAGTACTAGTTTTACTTAAATTGTAAAATTGTGGTTGGTACAGAACCAAAATGTTTGATCATATAACTTGCACAGAAAATGCTTATACTTTTAGGCTGGATCCATTCAAAAGCTTTATCCATACTGAATAAAAATGGAGAATTTTAGAAAAACATTACATCATTTCGATCTGAAACCAGAAATTTATGAAGCTCTCCGCAATATAAATAGTAAGATTTGGGTCAAGTGTTCAAAAAATCCATCACACCAGGAGATTGCCATTCTTGCATGCATTATTGGATCTCAACTCCTGTTCCCTCAGCTGATGAATCAGTCCTTCTCCATGTTGAACACCAATTGGAAATAACACTGAGGATAGTGTGGGGGCATGAACAAAATATGTAACCTAACCATCTCTCCTCAATGTACAATATCATTAATATCGCTGAATCCACAAATGTGAACATCCTGGAGCTTATCATTGAGTATAAACTGAACAAACTACAAGAGCAGGTCAAAGGGACAGTAATTAAATTTAAGGAGGAGTCAGACAGATTTTTAATTGGTCATGGGTTGAAGAGTTATGGGGAGAAGGCAGGAAAATGAGGGCGAGGAGCATATCGACCATGATTAAATGGCGGAGCAGACTTCGAGGGGGGCTGAATGGCCTAATTCTGCCCCTATGGCTTATGAACTTACGGATGTATAAAGGTTAGGAATCCTTCAATTAGTGACTCAGTACCTGACTCTTCAACGCCAGTGTCAAAATCTACAATTATGTAATGAAACATTCTCCACTCACGTGGATGAGTACAGCTCCAATAACATTCAAGCAGTTTAATGGTATCAAGGACAAAGCAGTCCACTTGCTTCTTCATCTTCACCATCTTCATCACCTTCACCACAGATGCACAGCGACAGTCATGTTACAGTTCTCAGTAACTTGAGAAACCTGCGTCGATAGCACCTTCCAAACCCATGATCTGATGCATGGGAACACTACCATATGTAGGTTTCCCTCCAAGCCACACAACATCCTGATTTGGAACTCAATCATTTTTTCTTCCCTGTTGCTGAGTCAAAATCCTAGAAATCCCTCCCTTACAGCTGTGGGTATACAAACACCATGTGGACTGCAGTGGTTCAAGATGCCAACTTGCCACGACCTTCTCCGTTACAATTAGGAATGGGCAATGAATAATAGCATGGCGACCAATGCTCATATCCCATGGACAAAGTTAAAAAAACAAAATTCTTATGTTTATGTTGCTTTTTATATTGTAATAAACACCATCATTCCACTTGCTCAATTTTTTCACCTTCTTTAGGTACATATCAATTGGAAAAATGAATTGAGTTGGATGGAGAGGAATTTCTCAAAACATAGCAAAGGACAAACCAATGGATCTAAAATACCTCGTTCAACAGGAATACGTGAGTCTCCGTAGGCTGTTTTTCAATACATCTTTCAGAGTCAGATTCAGATTCAGATTCTAGATTCCTGTATATTTGTGCCTAATTCATAACATTTATTAGAAACATTTCTTGTGATTAAATGTATTTCATCAGAGTTGGATTATTACATATCACTCCATTTAATAAGCCTGTTAACAAAGTTGATCGTGAGTTAAGAAATTCGCTACATCAAATGCTAATCCTTTAAAGTGCACTGACAAAGTGAACAAAAAGTGACAAAGCTGAAATTTTATGAACATATCTGGGCTTCGAACAGAATTTCTTTCTCTTTATGGTTTTTAAGATAACTAACTTTGGCAACAAAACTCAAGTAGAAGTGTTTTATTTAGACTTCATGCTAACACATGTTACTTGCTCTCACCTTGAGATGGGGCTGTGATAGCAGCTTCACCAGTTCTCTGATCTCACTGTTCATTGGTATGTTGTGCAGATCCTCAGTGAGCTATGAAATAGAATAAAATAACTGAGAAAATTCAGAGAAATATTTTTTTCACTCATTGCATTTGTGACATCTGAAAATTTCTCTGTTTAAAGCCATTACTTTCCTGCTTGCGCATAGAAAGACTAGCATGAATAACAACAGATCATTAATCACCAGTCTTACCGATTCCTCAGTGGGCCAACTTTGGCAGAACACTTCAGCTTACTTCAGTTCAACTAACGGTATGTGGAAAGTCTACAGCAAGACCCTGCTTTGATTTATTCCATAGATGGGTGGTACCAACTGTATAGAAAAAGTCTTTGCAAATAAAACATGGGTCGAACAGAAGCAGAAACAATTCCTGACGGTCACTTGGAAATGTGTACAAATTAGTGCAGCTATGTAAGCTATAACACTATCTGAAGACTGTACTGTTGTTCTAACCCTGTTGATCAAGGTGCCCTCACCCGATTCCTGGAGATGGCACCCATTCATTTCAGGAGATGATGGAATGCACCTGGAGCATATATCAGTCTGGATCAAGTTCTCTGTTTTAGATGCAGAAGGTAATTGGTGAGTGAAAGTCCCTTTCACAGTTGGCACAGGTGAATAGCACTGACTCAAGGTCAACTGATGACATTTTTCCTTCTGTTGGGTTCTCTTTTCTGGTATTTGGTTATTTCTTATGTCCTGTGCTTTTTCCAAGCCCTTCCAGATGTGTCTCCAGGCACTCCAGTCAGCAAGTGTCAATTTCAATCAACCTGAGATCTCATATGTTGACATGCATAGGTCACAAACATAGGTGACCTGTTAATCTCATGCCAATGCCAGAGAGCATGCCTTTGGCGTTGCTGCAACACCTCTTCAGTTCACATGGTCCAACCAAAAAAGTTGCCAAAGACTCATGAGGAGAGCAAGTTTTTTGGGGGGACATCAGGTTTCCCTGTTTGCTGATGTACGTCTGCACTCAGCACTCCATCCTCCAAGAAGAAGCCCAATATCCTATTTGTTCGGTATTTGCAATGAATTTGCTGTTAGTCGAGGCAAGACTTTTCAATTCTGACATAACAGCACTAAGAGACAAGCTGTCAATAACTATTTGTCCACAGTATGTGAAGCTGTCAAGAGTAGGTTGCCAATGTTGAAGGTGGATTCTCTAAGCCCTGGCTTTCACTTTGGTCTTCCTGATGATTCATGCTGACTAAATGCTCAATGAAGTACATGTGGCACGCAATGGCTGACAACATTCCAACTGCATGGAGTTGAAATCTTCAAATAAAAATACTCTTCTGAATTTGATTACTAACAAGAACTCAGAACTACAACTCTCACCAAATTTCCACAGTTAACAAACTGGTTCATTACTAGGAGACAGTAAGGACCGCAGATGCTGGAAGCCAGTGTCAATAGATATGAAGCTGGAAAAGCACAGCATATCAGACAGCATATGAGGAGCAGAAAGTCAACCCTTCATCAGCACGGGGGAGGCGAAGGGGAGCACAGAAATAAACAGAGGGAGGGGGTGGGGCTGGAGGAAGGGTAGGTGGGATGGTGATAGGTAGATACAGGTAGGAGGTTAATGTGATTGATCAGTGGGAAGGGTGGAGCGGATAGGTGAGTAGGAAGATAGACAGGTGAGGTCAGGTCAGGGAGGCAAGTTGGGGTGGGGGTAGGGCTGAACATGGGATAAAGCAGGGGGTGGAGGGATTTTGAAGCTGGTGAAGTCAATATTGAGGCCATTGGGCTGTAAGCTCCAGAGGAGAAATATCAGGTGTTGTTCCTCCAATTTACACTTGGCCTCACTCTGATAATGGAGGAGGCCAAGGATGGATATGTCGCCAGGGGAGTGGGAGGGGGAGTTAAACTGGATGGCAACCAGAAGGTTGGGAGATTCATGTGCACTTCATCCAATCTGATCTACTGCATCCATTACTCCTGATGTGGTCTCGTCCATATCAGGGAGACCAAATGCAGACGCGGGGGCCGGTTCATGAAACATCTGTGCTCTGCACGCACCAACCAACCCGACCTTCTGGTTGCCGTCCATTTTAATTCACCCTCACACTCCCCTGACAACATGTCCATCCTTGGCCTCCTCCTCAGAGGGAGGCCAAATGTAAACTGGAGGAACAACACCTGATAATTCGCCTCGGTAACTTACAGCCCAAGGCCTTAATATTGACTTCACCAGCTTCAAAATCCCTCCATCCCCAGTATTATCCCATGTCCAGCCCTCCTACAACTCGCCTCCCTGACATGACCTAACCTGTCCATCTTCCTACTCACCTATCTGCTCTACCAATCACAATAACCCCCTACCTGTATTTGCCTATCACCAACCCAACTACCCTCCCCCCATGCCCACCTCCCTCCCTCGATTTACTTCTGGGTGGCCCTCCACCTCCCCAGACCTGACGAAGGGTTTCTGCCCAAAATGCTGACTTTCTTGCTCCTTGGAATGTGTCTGACCTGCTGTGCTTTTCCAGCTTCACATCTATTGACATTGGGTCATTACTAGACTTGGCTGAACCACCTAAAGCATGGTTCCACTTCCCTCTACCAAAACTGCTTGTTGTTCCAGGGTCACCCTTAAATGCAAAGATAAGCCCAGCTGTTCGACTTCGTTACAACCATTTTTGAGCATTGCTGAAAAGTGTCAACTTTTATCAAAACTTTTCCTCTTGCCTTCATCAGCAACATTCCTAAGAAATTCCTTGACAACCTGCCTGATTTAAAATTTGAACAAAGTTTGAAGTTTAAAGTCATCATCAAATCCCCCACATGGACTTTGCAAGCAATGTTGTGGGTAGTTCATGGCCTGCTCCATGGACCCTACTGCACCAAACTGCTGATCTCACAAACTCCTTTAGTAGCCCCCAAGTCAACTAATATTGCTAACAGCTCCCATCTGTTCAGGTGCTTTAGTCCTCTTCTTTAGATTTGCTGTCATCACCACTCTACTCAAATAAAAATAAGCATTTGTAGCTCCTTGCTCTTTGTAAAGTGAATATTTATTCATGCACAGGATACGGTGTTGCTAGCTAGGCCAGCATTTATTGTCAGTTCCTATTTGCCCAGAGGGTAGTTAAAAGTCAACCATATTGCTATGGGTCTGGAGTCACAGGTCAACAGGACCAGGTAAGGTTAGCAGTTTCCTTCCCAGAAGGATATGAGTGACATGATGGGTTTTCTAACTATTAACAACTGTTCTGTAGTCATGATTATATGCTTAATTCCAGATTTTTATTGAATTCAAATTCCACCCATCTGCAGTGGTAGGATTCAAAAGTGGGCCCCCAGGACATAACCTGGGTTCTTGTATTAATAGTCCCACAATAATACCACAAGGCCATCACCGCCCCCTTGTAGTGCAATGTTACCTCCAAAACCTGCGCCCACTGTTCTTCTAATTCCATGTACAGCACTTCCAATTAGATTTCTGTCCAACACCATTCTGAAAAAGTTCTTAAGTCAGAAATGACTCAAAGTCAGATTATGATGAGGCAAATGATGCCACTTGTCCTGTAAGACCTGCCTGAAACATTCCATTGTTGGTTACACCATTCACTAATGTTACTTCTTAGTCACCTAACTTGGTGGAACTACTCTCACCTAATTTCATTATCACCTGTGCCTGTATTGGATTCTCAATCTGTCCTCACACGCTAATTTATGATTAACTACAATCTTTGCCCAACTTTTACGAATGGATGAGCAGAAATCCCCTCCAACTTACAATGACAAACACCGGTCCAAGGTAACCAACTCCATCCCTCTACCTGGCAGCTATGAGAAAATGAAACAGACCATTCATAATCTTGTGCCATACCTACCGATGCTAAGCATCCAATCACAAATCATGTCATCTAATTCCGTTTTTGTAACATTACAAAACTCCACCATGCATCAACTTATCTGTTGCTGAACCCTCACCCATCCCTATAATGTTGAATATGCCATTGATCTCTTGGTCAGCCCCCAAACTTCCACACTCCATAACCACAATTCATCTAAAACTCTGCTGTCCCTGTCCTAACTTGAAATAAGGGGCATTACCATACAACCTCTATGTTCAATGATCCATACTGAGAGGTTTATAGAATGACAGTCAATGTTAAAATTGTCACCTTTGGTTTCTAATCCCTCCAAAGTCTCACTGCTCCATGTCTTTTGCTACAACCAGTGAATTTCTCAATATTTTTATGGTTCTAGATAGGTTATCTCAAAATATGAGGCTCCCAGGTGAGGAGGACTCCCTTTGGTTATTCACCTGCCCCCTCTGTTGATCAAAGCAAGGTTAACTTTCTCCCAAAGAAATTACATGCATATTTTTAAAAGGAGGCAATTTAACCAAGATTTCTTCAAGTAACAAAAACAGTGAGTTTATGATTGACAAACAGAAGAAGAAATAGTATCACAACACATACTGATACACACATTTGTGAAGAATGGATAGTCAAACAGTGAATGAGTTCACAACGAGGACATCAGGCCATTAACACACACGGATAAGTGTTAGAGTTAGTTTTTAACCTTTTTGTGTATTTCTGGAAGGTCAAAATTCAAAAGATTCTGCACAGATGGCTTACTGTCCTCAAGGCAGTCAGCCCCATTGGTACCTCTTTGTTATATTTCTCTGTTTAAAATTTCCCTGACACTTCAGGTGCGACATTCGATGGGTCCCACAGAGATCTTTGTCAGACAGCGACTGAATGTATATCTGCAGATATTCTTAATTGCAGCAGACTTCCTCTAAAGTGACATTTTGAAATTTAAGATTAACCACAACCATGGTACTTTTGGAGTCTGTTTTGTCATCGTGGTGCTTTGTAAACTTTTTCAACACTACAATCCATATTCCCATGCAGCTTTGTGCTTATGTGGCTGCTCAGTGAAATGCCCAGATAAGCTGAAAACCAGCACTTTAATTGAGTATCATTTTTTTACACTGATTTTTGATAAATGTATTTAATCTTATAAAACACGTAAAAACATATTTACACCTGGCATCAATCTTGAAT